CAGGGAAAACAGGGACTTAAATAGGGTAGGTCTGAGGGGAGGATTTAGAACTGGGGAGGAGCATGGGATTGACAACCCAGGGAAAACAGTGATTGGAGGGTAAGGGAGAGGTAGGTGTAACCTTGGAGTAACTAGGGGAAAGGGCCAATGAGAGCTCACTCTGCACTGCGGCAAGCTGTAGCCAATCAGCAGCAGAGGAGCGGGAAAGCAGGGGAGAACAAGGAGGTAAACAAGTTAAGGCGGGAAAACCTGAGGGAGAAGGAGGGACAAAATGGAGGGTACATCAAAATTTCATTAAAACCACTGACAAACAGGGGTACAACAGTGGGAACAAATAACACAATAAAACTGGGGAAGACATCAGTCAGTCCGTGGTGAGAAAGTCCATTCCATGTGTTTAAAATCCATAGTCCATTCAGTTCCCATACAGCTCTCTCCACTTCTTGTATCTTTCCCAGTCTGATAATTGCTCCTCCACAGAGGCCAGAGTGGACCAGTTATGGTGATCAATATGCCCAAGGCTGAGTTGTTGCTTCAGGGAGTCCTTGTATCTTTTCTTTGGAGCTCCTCTCTTGCGGCAGCCAGTGGCAAGTTCACCATAGAGCAGGATCTTAGGGAGGCGGTGGTCCTTCATCCTAGAGACGTGCCCTGCCCATCGCAGTTGCGTTCTCAGCAACATGGCCTCAATACTCGTAATTGCTGCCTGTTCAAGAACAGATGTATTGGTCACATAGTCTGACCAATGGATGTTAAGGATTGTACGGAGGCAGCGTTGATGGAAGCGTTCTAGGAGACGCAGGTGGTGGCGGTAGATGACCCATGATTCGGAACCATATAAAAGAGTAGACAACACTATGGCTCTGTAAACACTGATCTTGGTGCTTTTCTTCAAGTGTTTATTACGCCATACTCGTTTATGGAGTTTTCCAAAAGCACTATATGCCTTCGCTAACCTGTTGTCTATCTCCCCATCAATCTTACCATCTGAGGAGATGAGGCTGCCTAGGTAATTAAACTGTTGGACTGAATTGAGTTCTGACTGGCCGATGGTGATGTGGGGATGGTGGGGGACTTCCTGAGGTGCAGGCTGATGGAGAACTTCTGTCTTCTTTAAGCTGACTTCCAGCCCAAAGAGCTCAGCAGCCTCTGCAAAGCAGGATGTTAAACGCTGCAGAGCTGCTTCTGTGTGGGCAACAAGGGCGGCGTCATCAGCATAGAGTAGCTCCCGGACAAGATGGTTAAGGGTCTTAGTATGGGCCTTCAGTCGCCTTTGGTTGAATAGGCTTCCATCAGTACGATATCGTATGTAGATACCGTCCTGATCATCGAGGTCTGCCGTGGCCCTTTGGAGCATCATACTGAAAAAGACTGTGAATAGGGTAGGAGCGAGAACGCAGCCTTGTTTCACACCATTCTTTATTAGAAAGGGCTCAGAAAGTGTAGTCTACCAGTTTTTGGTGGTTGTATCTGTTTCTTACAGAAACCATCTAGTGATGATTGTGGCAGATACAGCCAGTGTGTGGCTCTACGTCATTGTGGTCCTATTCCTAAGTAACGCTGATTCTGCCCAGCTCTGGCTGTGACCTTCATTGCAGATCTCTAAGAACTCTTTGGTTTTGTTCCCACAGAACAATTTAAAAACCTGAGGCAACACAGAGGTGGCATATTCTGTTGCAGATATATGTGGTACCTGCCTCAATAGCGTTAATGTATCAGCAGCCAGCCATCACTCTCCTGCAGGCAGGCTGCTGCAGTTGTGTCCCTGGCTCCCTTCCCTGCTTCTTTGCCTTACTGGCGCTCCTAATTTAATTTTGCAAGGTTTGCAGAGGGCTAAATTTGGGCCTTGGAGTGTTATTTTTAGAGTCTTGAAAAGAGGCTAATGTACAAAAAAAGATTTTGCTCACAGTTTAATGAACCATTTTTGAATTTTGAGGGGGAGAGGAGGATGGCAGTAAGATGGAAGGGCTTTTCATGTCATCTGTTTAGTCATATAAGGAGCAAGGGGTCCATCTATGATATTGACATCATCTCAGAGCTTCATGTGCTTTGTCCCATACCATTCTTTCCCCTTGATCTCTTTCCAAAACTCCTTTTTTCTTAGCCACCCACTTTTCTTCTCTCCTGCCAGCCTACATCCTTCAGTGCTGCCATAGATATCTTCTGCTGTACCTGCTTCCTGCATTTTCAGCCCTACACAGATTGTATTTCCCCGAACCAATTTTAAGGAGCCATTGATGGAGGTGGATTTCAGGAAAATGCCTACCATTAATTTCTTGGTTTCTGCCAGGATGGGTTTCCAGTGTTCATGTTCCAACTCTAGACTCATTCAAGGTCTAGAGCTGAGCAGATAGTGCAAGACCAACACAACAGAGAAGCATTTGTCCTTGGCTTTCTGACCATGTTTGTCTCAATCTCTTGGGAAGGATACTGTTATCCAGGTGTGACATGCTTGCACCGACTTTGGAGGCATCATGGAGGCAGGCAGTGCTTTGTTACCTGAGGTAGGTCATGTGGCTGAGGCCAGTTACGGGATGGTGAAAATCAGTTTAGTCCTCAAATATGTAGCAAAAATAAAAGAAAGAAAAATAAAAGGGATGAGGGGACATGGAGGCTGACCTTGAAGTGCTGTGCTTCCAGGAAGCCATCCGTCTGCTGCCCTGTGTTGAAGTGAGCGTAGGTATGGATCACTAACCCTTTCCTCTCACCTTGGGGACTCCACATTTCAGAGAGTGTGAATGAGCAGATGGGTTTTAGAACTAGTTTTTAGACTGAAAAGGCTTTCAATCTTGTGTGTAAAGAATGTTGTTGACATGGAGGTCCTTGTCTTTCATACTGCTTGCCTATTCCCTCCGTCTATCCTCCACCTGCAGTACAGTGTTTAAAACCCACCTGAGCTCTGCCCACCTATGCCATTGTGGCAGATGTTTGTCATACTGAATGCTTTCTATGTATCTTACCTTATGTTTGTTTTGGCTTAAGATATAATCCAGTCTCCCAAATGTTTACTGCTGGAGACGCTCCCGCTGACTTCTGCAGGAGAGCAGCGAGTCCAGCTGTTGACCGAAGTGTTCCTCGCAGCAGCTGCTGCCTGTGTGGGGTATGGACCTTCACAAAGAAGCTGTGATCATGTTCTGAATGCAGTGTATTTTCACTAATGTCCTTCCAAGATAAAAAGCCAAAAAGATGACCACCACTTATGGACTAATTAGCCAGAAGCCTCCATCTCATTTATCATAATCCAGATGTTATCCTGCTAATTTCAAGGCAGTTACTCAAGCGGAAAATTAGACACACAGGCGTTGAGAGTAGATCTACATCACAGACTTTTGTTGGGGAGGCCCTCAGTCAGGGCTTTGATGGGTTGTGTGATCTTTGGCCAACACAGCTGTGCTGACAAGAAGTCCTCAACATTGACTTCTGCTCGTTATACCATCAAAACCTTGTTTTTACTGGTATTGCTGATGTGGGGGAGGAGAACCTTTCCTGCAAATTGCTGCCAGAGTGAGCTCTGACAATGATGACCTCTCCTTACTCATCCTGTGTACCCCAGTATGACTGCTCTGGCAGCCTCCCTGGTAAAGCTTGGCCTAAGTGGGTGCAGTTGTGAGGTTCCCGTTAGGAAGCTGAGACTGCACTCACTTTAATTATTAATTTTTTCCAAAAGCCTTTTGAATGCATTTTTTAAAATGTACATCTTGTTCTCAAGAAGGCTTTGATCTTGTTAATCTTTTCATCTATGCATCAATCTGTTGTGTGAAAATGCTGGAACGTGCTCTTATTGTGGCGGGCTTTCCTAGGGTTTTGTTTCCATTTTTTTTTTTGCATAGTTGAGAGAATTTTTATTTCCAGAGGCTTTCCCTCTGGCTTGATCCTACATGAAAGTTGACCACAGATGTGTCAGGTTCTAGAATGCCACTTTGGGCTATGTCTTTGAATTTTCTTTGCAGGGATTTCCTGATATCAAATTGAAACAATGCTTTATGTTTCCTTGCATAATGTTAAAGAGATTGAGAATGAGCCTGCACATTCAGTTGTGAGCAGCAATCAGCTCCCTCTGCCTATATTCTCGAGGTGGGACACATGCCAGCTTTGAATTCCAAGTTTTGTGGTTTCTATAGCACGAGGAGAAGTCTAAACTATCTTACCTGCTCTCTATCTGCGTTAAGAGGTTGAGCAGTGTGCTGCTGTGTTTGTGGTCATTTGGCCAGTTTGAGGCATGGAGAATATGGTTAAATCCATCTGCATTTGGGCCACATAGACTTAGCCTTAATCTTGGTCACTTATATTTGCTTTTCTCTCCTATTTCTTACCATAGGTTTAGACTTCAGGTTATGCTTTCATAGTTACAGCCGTGCTTTCCTAAAATGTCCATCTGTTCATGATAGAAGCTGTCCTTGTGAAAACCTTTGCGTAAATGCAATCACTTGTGTGAGAAGTCATGCCCTGTGGAATAACTTGAATCCAAAGGAAGGTGGAGAAGGGGTCATTTGGCAGCCAAAAACTCCCCAGAAAATTAAAACTGTACCTCCTATACATGCCTATCAAAACAGAACCTTTCTAAACTGATCCAAGTCAGGACTTTCACAGTTTTCAGACCCTCATTGAAAACAGTGGTGTGACAAGGTGTTCTTTTCAACTTTCCTCAGTGTACACTAGAAATTGTTCTGCTGAACAGTTGATAGCATTGTGGTAATAGTTGATCACTTCAACTGGGAAAGGAACTGGTTCCTTTGGCTCTGGACGTAACTGTGAGAGAATTCAACTTGTGATAGTGGGCTGGGCAAGAGAAGGTTGAAGCATGAAAGGACACCTGGGAAGTGTGCTGCCAAAGCACAGAGCCTAGTGTTGACCTCTGAAGAGGGTCAAACACTTAGGCAGTACCTCAAGGTCTTTGAATAATTTATTGTCCTTGATATCGTTGGCCCCTTGCAGGTAAGTGTAAACTTCTTGCTTTATGAAAACATAATGAATTTCTGTTTGTACTTGTGTCTTTTGCCTAGGTCCTGAGAGAGACTAATAAATTGGCTGAAATGGAAGAGCCACCTTTGCTACCAGGGGAAACCATTAAAGACATGGGTATGTGAAGAGGAAATTCCTTATTATTTGCTGACCAAATAGAATATCCATAGAGCAAGATACCTTGGCAGTCATTGACCAACAAGAGCAAATTGCTGATGTTTTGAAAGCCATGATCAGGTTGTTTCATTAGTCGAGTTATTGCACATCAGAGGGACCAAGGTAAACTATGTGTCTCCTTTTAGCACGTAGCAAATACAAAGCAATTCAAGGCACCTTAGCATGAGTGATGAGGTAGGTTGTACAGCCTTGCATTTCTTGCCTCCTGAGAGGACATGGATCGACTGTTTCAAGTTGTCCTTGCCACAGGGTAACTTCTTAAGTTGACACACACAATTTGTGTCAAATCTCTGTCATGGACTCCAGGAAAGGGTACGGTGCTTTTGCAGGGAACTTGCTGTGATACGGGGATGGTTTTTTTCTTTTTCTTTTTTTTTTTAATCCAGACGTTCTGCCATGCATCAGGTTTGCTGATGCTCTCCAGTCTGAAAGCTTGAGTAAGCCTCTTGATTCTGGGAAAGATTTTTCATTCACTTCTTTGCCATGTTGCTTTCCTCTTAAAATGATATGGAACAGTGCAACTTCAGTCCTAAACATAAAAATTCAAAACAACTGAAAATACCTCACCAAAAAAACCCACATCCAACACCACAATAAAGACAAGCAAAAAACACCCAAACAAACCCAAACCCAAAAAAATCCACCTCAGTGCTTACTCTTTTTCTCTACCTCTTTCCTAAGGACTTGGAACTCCAACCAAACACTGCAGACTGATATCTAACTCGCTCCACAGACACAGTTAGCTCTGACAGCAGGACTATATTTTGGGGGGTTCCTAGGGAATAGTTTAAGAGATCAGAGTTTCCAGTGTTTTATCTGTTGACGAATGATGAGATGAGCCATATAAATCTGTAAAACTGGGTGGCTTTTGGAGTAGCCCAAACAGCAGCTGCCTGGTCCAGCAAGAAGTTAAAGGCAGCAAAAAGGAAATATTTGTTATTCATCAGCAATAATTGTTTCCTGTTAAAAGTGTCAAGAAAGGCAAATGTAATTCCTTTTGTATTTTACAGGGAAGGGAAATAAAAAATATTTTTAGCTAACCCAATAATGTAGGGTAAGATTGGCCTGTAAAAGACAGGGATTCCACAAGCAAGGGAATTAGTAGATCTGGTTTTCAGTTTCTTTCTCCCATAGGTATTCTCTTATATGTACCAAAGACTGAGCTTAATAGACTTTCCCTTGGTGCTAGCACTGCTACAACCTCTCTGTTATAGCTGGCATCCATTCTCACAAACAGTGAAGCATTTTAATGCCTTGGAGATCCCTATTTATCGGGTAGAGACTGCTGAAATCATACAGCTGTGAAGGGGTTAAGGTCAGACAAGCCATGTGTGTAGGTACACGTGTACATGCACAGTGTAATTAAGTAAAATTGTTTCCTTAGGAAACCAAGCTAATAAAATGCAAATGTGAAAGGTGATGTGGCTTACAAGCTGGCAAGGCCAGTGTTTGAGATCATGCCTGGGGTTCCTTACCTGCAAAACATTTTTCTAGCACCTTTTCTATTTACTCAGAAATCCTGTTCTTTTTCAGATGTAAATGCATGCTTTTCTTATTAGTAGATTTTGTTGGGGGTTTTTTAAACATTTTGAATTACATTTTGAATAATGGGAACTCTAGTGGAAAAACCAGGCAGGCTGCCCTTACCCTTATTATGCGTCACAAGTCTGCTTTCAAATCTCTGTCAAACTAGTCTTTGAAAAGAAGTGATTAATAATCAGCTACTAATGAAACACTTGGTTTAATTAGGACTGGCTAGAAGCATTTTGTGTTTAATTGTCCTTCAAACAAATGCATGTAAATGTATATAAATAAATAAATAAATAAATAATGGAATTACTAGCATGTATATATATTTTATTTCTTTTTAACCAGATATTGTGTGCTACATATTTTGCTCTTATATCACTTTTGATATTTTAAGGATCCTTCTCCACATCCAGATCTCGAGAGTTGTTGAAGACTATGCTGAAGCAGAGCTGATATGAGGATGATTTAGTTATATGAGTTGCCAGAGCCCTGGAGTAAGGCAGACTCCCTCTTTCTCTCCCTCCAGGCTAAATCTCATGAGATAAAGGTAGAAGAAATTAAGGTCCCCATCCTGATGCCCCAGTAGCCTCGCACCTCATGTGCGTGGTGGCTGTCACCTGGAGGGTAGGTGAGCTGTCCTCCTGACACAGCCCTTGCACAGTGGGTCCCATGGGATCCAGAGGCTTGAGGTTATCTAGGATGATCCAGGGAGTTCTTTCATGGATCTGGCAGCTCTGGTCAGTGGATCTCCTCTGTGTTTTTGAGGGGTGTCATTACTTCTTGGTGACAGCATAAACCATTGCCACAACTAAAGCCAGCCAACTGCTTTAGTGGCAGAAGACGTGATAGACGGCAGAGGTGGGGAGGGAACAACTTAAATCTTGGCATTTTTAATTGATGTAAAACAGAAAGGCAGTTAGGAGGGGTGTTTGCTGTGAAAAACCAGCCTTTTGCTGAAACAAGTGAGAAACATTTGAGGCCTTTTAAGAAGGGGACTGTTTTGAGTCACCATCACTCAGCCTCAAAAATAATTGAATTGTTGCAGAGTAACTTGATCGCTGACTTCAGACCTAAAATCACCAGCAGTTGGGTGTTATACAGATTCATGGTTGCTGCAAATCACTGTAGTTCTGCTGGCTTTCAGCAGGAGGGCCTTCATCCCAGGGCTGACTCTGCATGCAAGGGTGTGTGGAAGACCCAAGCACCCTGAAAACCACATATAGGAGAACTGCCTTCTCCTGTCCTAGGTGGCACAAACCAGCTTGGGGACAATCCTTAGCTTTTATGCAGACTGTTGTCAGCTTCAGAGGCATGCATCCAGGCAGAAGTCATCTCCTCTTTTCATGCATGGTGTTCTCAGCTAGTGGCAGTAAGAGTTAACAGTTTGCAGCCAAGCACTGGCTTTTTTACAGGGTAGCACTTCTGTGCAAATGTAGGATTCTGGGTCATGATACTACTTCTACTCAAACTCTTACTTTCTCCACAGAACTGAAACTTGCATATTAGCTCAAGGCTCTAGGCTAGAACCCCAGATGAAGCTTGTTCTAATGTCATGATCTGAAAAGTAAAACCCCCTAATATGATTGCTGTCATAATTTTTCTCCCATGATTTAAACCATGAAATCAACAACTTTTTTTTCCTTTTTTTTTTTTTTTTTAAGCTAAGGATGTTACTTACATCTGCCCCTTCACTGGAGCAATCAGAGGAACCCTTACTGTTACCAATTATAGACTGTATTTTAAAAGCATGGAACGGGTAAGCTTTTGAAATAATCTGCTTTTGTTAGCTATTTAATCTTTACACCTAGGTGTTCTTTGAGAGTAATTCTGTGTGAAATGTAGCTGTATGTTTGAAAATATAGACATAAGGGAGCAGGAGCTGGGGATTTTCCCCCCTCCCCTTTTTAAACTCACAAATTTCAACTGTCTACAGGACCCTCCTTTTGTCCTAGATGCATCTTTAGGTGTAATCAACAGAGTGGAGAAAATTGGAGGTGCTTCCAGTCGTGGTGAGAATTCCTATGGACTGGAGATTGTATGCAAGGTAAACTCTTAACCGTGTTTTACAGCAGGGAAAGGGGAACATATATTTTAACAGGTTTTTTCTGTAGTACTGTAGGAAGTTCTGCAAAATGTTTCAGTCAGTATGACTTCACAGGCATCAAAAACCATCTGATTTTAAAAGTACTTTTCAGTATCTCCAGTACCAGTCATTCAAGACAAGATACAAACCTTTATTCAGTCTTTGTGCTGGGCAGTGGCTTTTCTTTCTAGGGGAAACCTAGGCCTGCATCCTACTAATGCAGTTCTCAGGGTTGCCCATCATACTATTCCAGGTAGACTGCAGTTATTGTGGAATACAGTACGTATGCCTTTCTCTCATTCGCATTTCAAGAGCAAGAAAGGAGCACGTTTCCCCCTAAATCATTAGCTCATGTCTGCCTGCTGCTGTGCTTTGTGGTGAGGGACTGGCAAGTAGCCTTCAGTCCTCCTCGAGGCTGTTCTTTCATTTCTTTCAAGGTAGTACTTATTTCACTTGTGCCTCTCAAGAGCCCTTGGAATAACTGGTAATACAAATTTCAATAAAAATTAACAATTTGCCTCTTGTGTCTGCTTACCACATACCCACGAAGCAGATAATGCCCCCATCTTCCCTCCTAAATCCATACCACTGCTGTTCACCAGGGCATGGCCGCTCTGCCTGCCTCACTGGCCACATAGGAAGAGCTGAATTCAGAACCTTGTAGGTCTTGGACTGCTTAAAGCTCTTGTCAGAGCCCTTGAAGGCTAAGAGGATGCCACTTGCTGGTTAAGAGCAGAAGGAAAAGGAGTCCCAAACTAGTCTGGTCACTGCTGTGACTTGGAGGTACCAGGAAGCTAAGCAGACTGCCAGGCTGTGGGTGTGCTGAGTCAAGACCAGCTGATGCAGTCTGTACCAGATCATCCAGCTCCTCCCTCGTCTTATTGCAGTCATAATCCACCCTGGCTATCATAGGGATAGGGTGCGTGTGCTGGCAAGCTAATTTGTTCCCTGTTTTGATCTGGATTCCTAGTCCTCAGCCATTTTGTTTATATGCAAATTTGAACACGTGGTCAAGTTTGGAATGAACTGCATTGTTTGCCTGGGTGGAAAGCTCGGGCACAAACTGTATGATGAGTGTTTTGGCCCTTTGTAGCATGTATATATGCCAGCTTGCTTGGCCTAGGATATGCAGAGCAGTTCAGTGCAAAAACAAAGAGGTGCAGATACAGCTTTAGACATCCTGAAATGTTCTCTGTCTGAGACCAATCGCGTAATCTCTATTTGTGAGGATGCAAAGTCTTTATCTGTTTATCTCATTTTCTGACTTGCTCTACTATCTTCATATGCTTGAACTTGATAGCTCATTTCTTGCTGGTGGCTTTTAAACTGTTTACTGCAAGTGTTTGAGTTGCGAGCTTGGCTGGAAGAACTTAGTACCTTAGAGATGCATTATTTAGTTTTGGCATTTGGTTTTGTAGATGAGTGTGGAAAGGAGGTCCTTGGTTACAACTCTTTGAGGAAACTACTGCTGTGTGAAGGAGGAGTTCTCGGTTTCAAGACATCTTCTTGAGTGCTCTGAGAGACGGAAGCTTTAAAGGGAGATGATGTTGAATGCTTTGCACCCAGCTGGCTGGACTTGGGCTTGGGCTTGGGCTACCTACATGCAGTAGCTCTGTGGAGGTACTTTGTGAGGCAGACCCTTCCAGTGGTCCTTTGGCACAACTTGGCATGAGAGCTTGGTGAGAGCTAGGAGGTCCGTCTCACAAAGTCCTGCTGATCAGAGACAGCTTGTCCCTTAGCAGGGCTGTCCCCTAGACTTTCAGCAGGTAGAGAGCTTCATGTGAAGGCAAGGTGCTGCTACCAGGCACACCTGTGCACTTCCTCGGCTCCTCTGCAGTTGGAGCAGGCTCTGTTGGAGTCTGCAGACAACCACTAAGCCAAGCCCAGCATTGCAGTACAAGTGTTCCAAGTACAGTATTAAATCAGTACTAGAAGGAGCATTGTGCTATGACCCTATTTTGAATTCTGGCTTTTGGATTTTCTTTGAATTTTGAAGTGGTTCAGAAATTTGCAACTTGATGTCCCTCTTTTTTTTCATCCTAGGATATTCGAAACTTGCGATTTGCTCATAAGCCTGAAGGGAGGACTAGACGGTCCATATTTGAGAATCTAATGAAATATGCTTTCCCGGTTTCAAATAACCTGGTAAGTGTTTTCTCTTCAGTTTTTACCAAAAGACACAGAGTGGCAGTAAACTGTCTCGTTCTGTCCTTCTACTTGGTACAGCATTCACATGGGGTACATTTTCTTGAAGGAGGAGAAGTGGGTTTTAAGTCTGTTTTTAACTGAAGTTGGTAGGAGTTTAGATCATATAGAAAACAGGAAAAGTCTACTACTACCATGGGCTGGATTCTTTCATGCGTGGAGAATGACTTAGCGATGAAGCCTTGTGACAGAGGGAAAGTCGTCAAAGCGATGTGACATCCCTCAGAGGTTTGCAGCTAATGATGACTGCACTGCCCCAAATCTGAAGTGCAACTCCTCTGCTCTGTAATGTTATGACGCTGCAATTGTTGTTTCAAATGCTGGTTGAAAGGAACTGTTTGTTATTATGTAAGAGAATTCTTGTCCAAGTAGTTTTTTTCTTTCTTTCTTTCTTTAACAATAAACTCCTTTTGTTCATAAAGTACTAGGTAATAGACAAGCAAGATCAGGGGTGTATTGGAAAGTACATTGTTGTACGAGTTATCTGATACAGCAAGAGGGTTAATCTTTTTCACAAAGCCCTAATAAAAAAGTGCAGTGGGAAAAAAGGAAGGGTCAGTCATGAATTAGTATTTGAGATATGAAACATCCTTAAATGGGCTCTGAGTGGGCTCTTAATGGTAAATTTTCTTTCTTTCAGCCACTTTTTGCATTTGAGTACAAAGAGGTTTTCCCAGAAAATGGATGGAAAGTGTATGACCCAACTTGGGAGTACAGAAGACAGGTGGGTATTGTGCCACATGCTCTCTACTCTTCAGAAGTGAGGCTCTGTGCAGTAATACAGTTACAGGTCACGTGGAGTGGATAATGATGCTGCTGACAAATGTTGTGCAGGCTGGGTTTTGTTCTCCACGCTGCAGTGATGGATGACAGCACTACAGCTTTAGAGATAGTAGCATCCACTGATGGAGATTGGCTCAGGCTGCAGAGAGCTGACTTCAGCCTTCAGTAGAAAAAGCAAATGCTCTGTCTTGGTCATCAGCTGCTGCTGGCAGTGAGGAACGGAGGGTGCATCTTGTAGGTACAATGCTGAGTTTCACACCTCAGCATTTGCTTGTATCAGTTTTAATTCTTTCCAGTTTTTCCTGTCTTAAACATGAACTTGGGAGGAAAAAAATTAAGAGTAGAATGCCTTTATTATCATACGGAATCAGCATAGGAATCAACCTAGAGAGTTTTGCAATTTACCATAGCGTAGAACACACAGTTGTAGTGTGTCCAGAGTAGACTGGTCAAAATGTCTTTATGATCATGAAGTGACAGGCTGTCAATTAGGTACTCTGTGGTAAGAGCTTGAGCGGTCCTCCCTGGGGGACAAGATGAGAGAATTTTGGTTTTTATAATGGAATTGCTCCTGTCATAAAATTCTCAAGTAGAGGAAAGAGCTCAATTTGGTGACACGCTTGCCCTGGACACAGTAAACATCTGTCTCATCTAGATCTGCCAATAAAAGCAATTTTCCTTTGTTAAATTAAGAGATGTTAAGCCATGTAATTTAAAGATTTGTGTCATTCTCTTACAATGAAACAAACCCAGACCTCTGTCCTAGCCTAGCTGTTCATCTGATTTCTGGCATCCAAAATGTAAGGACTCATTTTTCTAGCTCTAGTCTTCTAAAAGCTGGGCATGCCTTCTAAATTGGTTATGTAGGCCTGTCATTAACAGATGGGGAGAGAGCTCTTCACTGTAGGGGGTGATTTGTTCGCTCCTAAAATAGCTGCCTAAGATAGATCACTGGCTTCTAGGCTGCTAATTGAAAGTGAGATGTATCTTACTGTATCTTTCTGTACGCTGCCTTCATTACAAAAAGCGTATGTTTTGCAATGAGGTGCCGCAATCCAAAATCCTAGTAGAGACAAAATCCAGTCGTTTGTAATCATATGGTATGTAAGGTCAACTTTAGCTACAAGACCAGATAATGCAGCGATTATTGCTTTGTTTAGAATTTACCTCTTTCTTGGTGGTTATTTTATGGAAAGATCTGTTTATAGACAAGGATCTGCTGCCCAAGCTATTTGGGCAAGATGCTTCTTCATAGGTCTGAGAACTTTGGAGTAACAACTAAAGATCTCCACTGAAAAGCACAGTATTCGCTTAGCCAAGCTAACTAAACAGGTGTACCAAAGAGATTCTTGCAATACCTGGAAAGGAGGAAGGGTGACCCCTGTGAATTTCGAAGTAAATTATTCTACTTTCTTAATCCTGCCATGTCGTTTTTTTATAATAGAAACTTATCTGTCCATATTAGTGTTTTTATACTGTGATCTGGTGTACCTTAAATTTGGCAGGAGTTTGGTTACGTGGTGAAAGGATACGTGTATTGCATGCATGTAATTTGCAGCTCTTCGTGGCCTTTCTGTAAAGAAAATGAGACCAGGCCATGGTGTCTTTGTTTCTTGTCACACGAGGTAGCACTGTTGTGTGTAAAACATGACAACTTGAGACATTACTGCACTGTGTAGTTGTGCTGTGCTGCTTTTGTATCATTTTTGAGTAGAAAGGAAAAACTTTGCCTGACTGCTTTTATGTCAAGAAACCAGACTAATGTCCAGGTGCTGAAGCCCTTGGTCATTTCCTTACATTGGTAACTGCAAAAGTGAACCCAAATCAGGACATTTTGCAGCCACAGCCTATCTGAATTTTAACCATGATGGGCCACAGTCACTACCATTCCAGATCACGCAATCCATCTGTTCCAGTGGCTTATCTTCAAAAGTGACTAACGCCAGCTGCTGAAGAAGAGACAAACCCTACTGCAGTAGATGTTTATGTTGTGATGTGGCTAGGAGGAGAATTTCATCCCTTTTTTTAGATTGATTTGGGTCCTGCAGCATGATGCTTTATGTCCCCTCCAAAACTTTTAGGTATTTCAGTCTGTTTATTTAATTCTAGTATTTATAACTATGGATGTTCAATTTATCTGTGTGAATGTCTTAGCCTTTTTTCTTAATCCAACCAGATTCTGCTAAAGCAATAACAAATACTACGGTAAATCAGGATTATGTCCTGAAATGGCAGCGGGCATTCATTAACAGTGAAACAAAACTGGTATCATCAAATCAGATAATGTCACTGACTCTGTGAATTGTGATCAGAAGTAGAAAAGCAGGACATATGCACGGTCAGCAGGACTTTTTTGGAATTGGTTTAAAAACTGTTATAGAAGAGCTGGCCTAGGGCATAAGCAGCCCAGCAGTATGGTGTTAACTTGGTATATCTTAGGCCAGGTCAGTCTTTTCCTGTGGAAGCAGGGTCACAGAGAGAGGGGAGTGGATCAAAAGTAAACTCCAACTACCAGGAATTCAGAAAAGACATATAGACTAGGGTCTGTGGTCTACACTGGTGCATGTGGCAAGCTTGTGTGTGGTATGATTTATTTATTATAATTTTCATTAAGATTAATAGAAGTGTGTTGATATGATAGCAACTGTAGCAATTAGAAAAGATACTCAGTAAACCCTTGACTTCTCTGTTAGCATTCTTGGGAAAGATGGAAATATGTAATATATTAAAAATCTGTGATTGTGTAAAACTATGGGGAGTAATAAACAACCTGTAGAGAACAAAAGGAACTCAGAGAGATTTGAGATTTAGTTGGTAAATAGAATCACATGTGGCAAATGAAATTTAAAACTGAAATTGCTCCCTGATTTTTATTACATGCAGGCTGCAGAGTTTAAAACAGAATTGCAAAGTGAATAAGACTCAGTTGAAACCAAAAGGCCTTGAGATGCCTTTGGAGTAACTTAAAGCTTTATTTTCCTTAACAAGGTGGGGAGCATTTGGAAAATATTACAAGGGGTTGTGAGGCAGGAAATGTGTAATGTTTCCCTACAGAAGTCATTCTGGTCCAATCCTATGCTCTGGTCATATCTACCAGGTAGCCACAGTATAGGCTTGTGATTGCTGCTTTCAGAGAAAACATGTAGAAACTAGTAATTCAGAAGAACTGACCTATTTTGAGGGTAAAAGAAATGCCCAGCATTAGTATACAAGCAGAGTGGGGAAGGTAGAGCATGAGAACAGCATCCTACAGAGGATTGCTGGGTGTAACGTGGCGGAGTAGAGTGAGAATTGAGCTGTTAAATGTCCCATGGTTTAACTGAGGTCTTGCTTATGCTAGGTATGTCCCTACTGCAGAACAGATCAGAGCTCTCTTGTGCTAAGTGGACACAACACGGGCTGAGTACATGGCAGAGGGACCAGCTTGGCTATGCAGCTATGTCCTGTGTTGGTGTAGCGATGCGCCTCAGCCAATGTGCTCAGCTTCCTGGTATCTCATGGCTCAAACCAAGTTCGAGAGAGACACTGCTAGTGTGTAACTTAGGACCCTTCCTGCCTTGCCTGCTGCAGATCAAGGTGCACCTACATAGCTAAACTCAGAGTCGATCTGCTGGATCCCATAGAGAGATGTGACTGTGTGTAATTCCAGCAAGGAAATAATTTTTTTTCCTGTCAGTGGAAGATCCCCATGTGCTTAACCTTAAACACGTGCTTTGCAAGGTGGTGGTTTCAGTGCCATGTCGATGTGGCTTCAGCAGTTTTTCCCTGCAAACGAAGACACTCCATCTTCTACAATGTGCGTAAATTAAGTGATAACTGAGCACAGGTCATTAAAATAAAGCATAAATGACTATCCAGAGGGAAACTAAGTCTAGTTTGTGTGTGGAGATGACACAAAGGCTGTGTCTCTATGGTTAGATGATACAGTTGTAAGGAGTGTTCCCAAGCACTGGGGCACCTTCATTGCAAGTTCCAGGCATAGCTTCAGTCCAGGCTGTTACCATCCCTCTTTTGACTGGGTGTGTTTGAGCACCTTTAGCCATGCACAAAGATACTCTTCCAGCAAAATGTATGCAAATTGAGAGTACAAACCAGTTATTTACTGACTAACACAGAAAAAAAGATAGCTGAGATTTAACTAGCTACTAGGCTGAACATTCGTACTCACTGCCTCAGAGGATGCTTCTGTAGAGACTTTCCTGGCCAGGCAAGCCAAGAGGGAGGGCTGCAAAGCCTGCTGTTAAACCTAGCCATGTGTCAGAGGCTGACACAAGCTGAGGATCACCAGGAGGCAGTTTGGACAAACTATATCTTGTTTGGAGAATAAATGAGTTGAATAGCACGGGTGTGAGGTGCATTGTTTCAGCTGGTCTCAGTGAGAATGTTCATGGAACATTTAATTTATGACTGTGGATGTGGCTGTGCTGCCTTCCTTGGTGTGCCCTCTAGCAGCCACCAAACATGTGAATTCCCCTAAAGTCAGGGTCTGCTAGCAGCATTATTTTACCTGAGGAAGACAGACCTTTTGCAGCAGCCTTTGGTGACTAATGTGGACACCCAACAGCTGTGTGCCCTAGCAGCTTCAGAATGATCACAGCCTGCTGTTAGCGAGGCACACCTTGGTTCCTCCTGCAGGTGCACAGGCAGGCAGCTCCCAGAGCCATTCCTTAGCCTGCAGAGGCTTCTTGAGTTATATCTGTAACAGTGTGGTTTGATAGTAGGCTTTTGGGTGCTTAAAACTTACCAGGAAGCAGTGAAATGCATCTTAGATGAGGAAATACTAGTGTGCTTTATATCACGTTTAGCTGTCTCTATTGATTCCAGCTGGAGAAAGGGCAAATCTGAAGGAGCACGAATAAATGCAGAAGCTACTCTGCGTTATGGCAAACGTCCTGGGAAGATGCAAATTCAGCTTCTCTTCTAGCCCACTTGGCTTATTTCTGTTTGCTTCCAGTCCTTAGAGAAAGTCACGATCTGAATCCAAAGCATTTTGGGTGGTGCTGTGATTCAAGGCTCCTGTGCTGGGGAAAAGCAGACATTCCCTATGATTCGAAGGAAATCTGAATGCTGACACATGGCATCTTTTCTTTCTTTGGGGGCTTGTCATGGATTTTTCTGGTCTGGGCTATTGCAGAGAAAAGATTTTCTGCAAATTTATCAGTGTGACAGCTGAAAGTCTTAGAGCTTTGGAGAGCTTTAGAGCTCAGTTCTGGCCCAAGCAGTGTGTGCTGAAGCTATTCTGCCCAGCACTGTGCAGAGGGTGCTTTGCAGTGCCCACTGCTTAATCTTCTCTGTGAGCACTGGTAGAGTTGCAGGGCAGAATGAAAAGGAGCCTTTTTTCAATGTAGCTGCTTGTCAGCTCCCATTTTCCTTGCCAAGACTGTGCTGACAGTGTACTTTTCATTCAGATTTGGGGGAGGTGAAATCCCCAGGTCTTGCTGGTTGATCCATTGCATGTACTTAGTAGGACAGGACTGAGAACTAATTTGCCATTAGTCCACTTCCAGGTAGTAACCAGCTTGTTTACAGCTGATGCACAGCTAAGAGCAAGAGCCTTGCTATTCCCTGGTTGACAGCAGAGCTGGTGGACCCAGCAGGTAGACTGAGCATCTTCAGTCAATAAGCTTGGACTGTGTATACACATTGCTTGATGCCTGTTTCTGCCAATTCTTTGGCTTCAGACTGCCAAAAATAGCTTTCCTTTAGGGTTTTGGGGTATTCATGATCCTGGCAGCTCTGCTGATTCCTTGTAGTAACCTTTCCTTCCCAGGGAGGGCCCCAGCAGAGGGGTGGTTCACAAGCAGAGTGTGTGACTGGTATTAGACAGAAGGTCTGTCCTCCCTTCAGATTTTTAACCATGACCTCTTTTGACAGCATGACTCACTGCTGTGAGGGTGAACCGGCTGCAGTCTGTGTGGGTCAGGCATAATTACCACAGCTCGTCTGACTTGTGTTAGATTTGTCATTTATTTCCTGTGCGAGCCATTACAGTGGTAATCACTGTCCCACCACTCTCCTTAAAATGAAGTACTGTTTATTAGAACAGAAGCATGTATTGTTTTAAGAGTTGATGTTCCCCTAAAACACACTCTGTGCTGAACAGTCTGGCCATGTTCAAAGCAGCAGATGTGTCTTCCCCACAGAGATGCTTTGTGTCGGTGCTCACCCCTGCTGCAGCAAGTATCTGTTTAAATCTCTCCTTGCAGGCACACTGTACCAGCCACTCCGTGTTGATCTGTTCATTTCCAGCATCAGCCAAACCAAGTCTGCAGGTTATCAGGATCCTCCCCATTGTGCTTCAGATGTTACCTGAAGGTTGTTGTCTGGGAAGCTGTTGAGTGGCTTCCCCATCAGGGCACACCGAACTCAGTGATATGTGTGTGTACGTAGCTTCCCTGCTCTCCCAGCCCAAGCCATGCTAGTACAAAAGGAGATCTTAGTCTAGCAGAAACATGGGACTTGCACATCACATACAGTCATGCAGCCAGAGACATAAAATTATTAAGTTTTTGGTGTTTTTATAGGATTCCACAGTTGTACCACAAACACTCAACAAGGCCCAAAACAGATTGATTTTTTCGAGGGTGTTTTACTGCCTGTTCTCCCTTCTTCCCCTCCCCTCCATCCTGTCTGGTATCTCCATTTTGCATCCCCAGTTTCACCCACCACGTTTGAGCTAAGTGCCAAGAGAGAGGTAAATTGGTCACACATTCTGTCCTGCTCGTGGCTTTCCTGTGAGCCCATGATGAGACCAGGAGGTATCTTAAAGATGCACTCAGGGGGATCATCTGTGGCCTCCACAGTTCCTTTGCCAAGGTGACCCTGCCTGGAGTATTCTAGTTTCCCTGTTCTTCAGCGACCTGAGCAAAATATCCACCTCTCCGGGAAGAGGCATGAAATGCAAGTTACCAAGATAATGCATTCCCAGGTGCCAGCCCTAAATGTCCTTCATTAACAAAAATTGCCTTGAATTTCAGGTCTGGGGATTTGACTGTGCTGAGGTCTCAGAGCAACTCATTTGGTAACGTGCTGTTGTTTCCTCTTTAGGGAATTCCCAATGAAAGCTGGAGGCTGACCAAGATTAATGAGCGCTATGAGCTTTGTGATACATACCCTGCCATTCTAGCTGTGCCTGTAAACATTCCCGATGAAGAATTAAAGAGAGTAGCATCTTTCAGATCAAGAGGACGCATACCAGTGAGTAGGACAAAGGAAGCCACCTTTGGGCAATAAATAATACCAAGATCAGGCTGAGTAGATTCCAGGGAGCCAATAAATGGTCAATGGATAATAAAAGTCACAGCAACACGTTTGAGGACTTAGAAAAGCAGCAGTATCTGCTGGAACTACTATTGTGAAAGAGATGTAGACTAAACCAAAATGAGAAGATAAGATAATTTAGCTCAACTCAGACCAAATCTCCGTTCAGTTCCTGAGAAACACAAAGCAGCCCTATTGGGCTGTTTACAACTGTCTGGCCTACTCTGACTTTCAGAATAGAGGAATACTTAGTGATACTCCTGATGAGAATGCTTGTTAAATGAAATTAAGACAAAATACACTGTTATGATGATTACTTCAGCAGTAACTGAAAATGTACTAGTTTACTTCTAAAGTTTGTAGAAAATTCTATCTGTTCCTAAAGTACTTAACTTTGACATGGTATAACATAAAGTAAGACATTGCCCACATAGTGACTCACACAACAGCCAGAAAAACAGTTTGCATCATATTTAAAAGTCAAACTTAAATTATTTGGTCACCTTTTGTTTGTTCAAACTTTGGGAATGCCACAAGAATGAATAAGGACAGAAGAGTTAATTCTTTCATTCAGTCATGATTTAGTAGAATCCAGCCTTCTGGAACCAGCTAATACATGGTGGAATCCCAGACCAAGCCATTACAGGTGAAACACTTCACTGGTTTAATGAATCCCATTTTTCCTTCATTTATTTCCCATTTGTTTTCAAAGGTCTTGTCATGGATTCACCCAGAAAGTCAAGCAACGATCACTCGCTGTAGCCAGCCAATGGTGGGAGTGAGTGGCAAGCGAAGCAAGGAAGATGAAAAGTACCTTCAAGCCATCATGGATTCTAATGCTCAGTCCCATAAAATCTTCATATTTGATGCAAGGCCTAGCGTGAATGCTGTAGCCAATAAGGTCGCGTGCTTTTTCCTCTATCTAAAACTGGGAATGTAATAATTTAGAGCACATTTCCCACCTCAGCTTCATATTATTCTTAAGGATCACAAGAGGGTTTTCCCTTGGGGAAATCTGCATGCAATGAGCTGATTCTCTAGACAGACTTTTATACCTGCACTGGTATTTGTAAGATATCAATGTGACTACTGAAGATCCATTATATTAATCTTGGATGGGAAATGAAATTGCAAGGGGGACAAAAAATGAAGTAATACTGAGGTCAAACTCTAACCCTCTGTATCTTGTGTATCACCATTTTCCACTTCACATGGTTGGAAGACTGCTTCCTCTTAACAGCACCAGCACTCTGTCCCTGTTAACTGTGATGGGAGCAGGGGATACTCAGTACTTCTGAAATTCAGGCATCACGATTTTTTTTCAAAATATGGCTGGAGATAGCTAATGTCTAGGAATGTTCCTCTGTTCCTTCTGCTGTTGTAGGGTCGTAGAATTCCTTGGGTTGGAAAAAACCTTTAAAGGTCATGTAGTCCAACCCTCCCCTGCCATGGGCAAGGGCATCTTCCACTAGACCAGGTTGCTCAGAGCCTTGTCCTACCTGACCTTGAATGCTTCCAGGAATGAGGCATCTGCCGCTGTTCTGGGAAACTTCTTCTAGTATTTTACCACCCTCAGTGTAAAAAACTTCTTCTTTATATCTAGTCTGAATCTACCCTCTTTTAGTTTTAAACCATTAGCCCTTGTCCTGTCACACCAGGCTCTACTAAAACATCTGTCCCCATCTTTCTTATAAGCCCCCTTAAGTACTGGAAGGCTGCCATAAGGTCTCCCAGGAGACTTCTCAACCTTTCTCATAGGAGAGGTGCTTAAGCCCTCTGGTCATTTTTTGAGGATCCCTCTAGACTCACTCCAACAATTCCATGTCTTTCCTGTGCTGAGGACTCTAGAGCTGAATGCAGTACACCAGGTGAGGTCTCACAAGGGCACAATAGAGGGGCAGAATCACCACCCTCAGAGCACAATCACCTGCTGGCCATTTGGCTTTTTATGCAGCCCAGGATACAATTGGCTTCCTGGGCTGCAAGCACACATTGCCAGCTCATGCCCAGCCTCTCATCCAGCAGCACCCCTCAGTCCTTCTCTGCAGGGCTGCTCTCATTTTGCTCATCTGCCAGCCTGTGTTGATACCAGGGGTTGCCCTTACACAGGTGACACCTTGCGCCTGGACTTGTTAAACCTCATGAGGTTCCCATGGACCCACTTCTCGAGCCTCTCCAGGTCCCTCTGGATGGCATCCTATCCTTCAGGTGTGTCAACATCACCACTCATATTGGTATCATCTGCAAAATTCCTGAGAGTGCACTTGATCCTTTTGTCTATGTCATTGATGAAGGTATTAAATAACACTGGTCCAAATACCAGTGATGTCCCCTCAGGGACCACTTGTCACTCACTGGACATTGAGCCATTGACGACTACCCTCTGGCTGTGACCATCCAATTCCTCATCCACCCAACTGTTGGCCAGGCAGGACTTGCCCTTGCTGAAGCTGTGCTGGCTGTCTCAAATCACCCCCTGGTCCTCCATGTGTTATAGCATAGCTTCCAGGAGGATCTGTTCCATGATCTTGCCAGGCACAGAGGTGAGGCTGACAGGTCAGTAGTTTCAGGGTCCATCTTTCTACCCTTTTAAAAATTGTGTTTCATGCCATCACTTTAAGCTCTGTATTAATGGTAGAACTGCTTTGTTGCACTAAAGCTCATTTTTTCTCTTTTTTTTTTTTTTTAAATCTGCCTTTCCCACTGCTTAGGAAAGGCAATTAGTGTGTGGGTTATATTCCTCTATAATAGTATGTTAAATTTTTAAATGATAGAATAACGAATGTAATGAGCTAGCAACTTGAATGGAGATAAATGATAATTATAGAGAAAAAGAAGGCTTGTAATGTGGTATTCTTTGGTAAAAATTATAGCATTCATTAGCTATTGCAGGAAAGAGACACAAAGTGCGTGCGTGTACATGTTTGGTCCCAGTTGTAAGATAAAGCCAATGTTTTCTGCCTGCTTTAGGTAGCCCAGTCACTGTGGTATTTTATCAGCTGCTATTTGCTCAGGACAAATGACCAAGATAAAGTATAAAATATGTTTTTGCTTAATGATTTGTCTGTGGATTTTGTTCTTCAGGCTAAAGGAGGGGGCTATGAGAGCGAGGATGCCTATCAGAATGCAGAATTAGTGTTCTTGGACATTCACAATATTCATGTTATGAGAGAGTCGCTGAGAAAACTGAAAGAAATTGTGTATCCCAATATCGAGGAGACTCATTGGCTGTCTAATTTAGAGTCAACTCACTGGCTAGAGCATATCAAGGTATGCATGTCTGCATCCAGTGCATGTGGCTGAGCAACCACAAGTCCTTACCAGTCTGTTCACTGGGAAAGATATCTAGAGCTAACTCCAGGATTTTCAATTCATGGTAAATTTAAAGACTTAGAATTTGTTTTCTATTTGTGAACAACTAAAACCAGTTTCTGGGAGTGAGGAATCTTGAGAAGATGGAAGAGGGACAAGAGAGGGGCCTGAAATACTGAAAGATGGTGTTTTGGAAATGAAGTATTCCGAAATGAAGTATTCCAAAATGAAGTGTTCTGGGTAATGTGTAACTGTGAAAGTTCTGGATAGAGGTCAGGAGTCCTAGAGTTTCCAACGTCTTGACTCAGGGATCCTTGTCATCCTAGTGTTACTGCCTGGTCCAGACCAGCAAATGCTGGGAGTTTGTGCCCTGTCAGCCTTTCAGGAATCCAAGCAGAGTCAGAATGAGGAGGCAAAATGTTTCAGCTTCTGCAGATGTTGGTTTTCAAATTAAGTTCTTTCTCTTCTAAAAATGTCCAGTTTACATTGTTGCTCTGCTAAAGCAGACAGGGGCAGATCTGCTCCTGGGGCAGCTGCAAGGTGATGGCCATTTTGTATTCGTGTCACACACAAAATACTCCTGTGTTTAAATCCTGACCTGTCCAAGGACTGAGCTTAATGCAAAATCTCTTCTAGAGTAGTGCTTACACTACAGTATAGATGTGTTGTCATCTTGTTGGAATAAAAAATGTGTTCACAGTTTGCTGTCCTAGTTACAAAGTAGTTGGAACTGATTTACCATTCTGCTTGAGGCAAACAGAGCCCTTGGTTTGTCCTGTGTTGTCACTAGCCATTTTTCATTCATAGTTTCTCTTCCAAAGAGGTTTTGTAATTTGGTTTTTTCCTTGTCCTAGCTCATTCTTGCTGGAGCCCTCCGAATTGCTGACAAAGTAGAGTCAGGGAAGACATCTGTGGTTGTACACTGCAGTGATGGTTGGGACCGGACAGCCCAGCTCACCTCTCTCTCTCTGCTCATGTTGGATGGCTACTACCGAACTATCAGGGGCTTTGAAGTCCTGGTGGAGAAGGAGTGGCTAAGCTTTGGCCACAGGTTTCAGCTGGTGAGTCTCTAGCCCTTGGAAGGCACTATATGGAAAGTTATTGTCCCCCTTGAAGGATTTCAAAGGAATTTACCCGTTCTTGTGAGAAGTTTCCTGGCTGAAGACAGATGAAAGCTGCTGCTACTGTTTTCTGCCTATAATTCCAGTCATCTTTTAACTTCCTTGGGGACTGTATTGATTAGGTAGGAGGCACAGGAGGTCTTAAATCTCTCAGGTGTCTGACTGATACGTCATGTTTCCATGATTAGGCTTGAACTAACAGTGCACTTTGGGCGCAGGGTTGGCATTTCTGCTGGGAGTTGGCTGAGACCACTGGGGTATTTTTTTCTTCCTTTACAGTTCATTCCATTTTCTGAGACTGTTAGGCCACTGTCATCAGAAATGCCTTGGTATTGAAGAGTTTGGAGAATTTGGTTATGACCTTGACCTCACGTTTTCTTCAGGCACACTTTATTTTTGTGGAGGCTTCTAATTGCCTAGGTTTGATCAGCAGTTTGAGCCTGGACCAAGAGTAGCTTGTGGTTGTGTCCCTGTAGCTGGCAGAGAGGCAGCTTTGTGGGCTTGTGACACAGCAATTTGTTCTGGTTTGCACTGATGGGAACTGAGAGAGCCTTTCAGTAGTATCCTTTCAGTCTTTATTCCTATTGTGTTTTGCTTGTAGCTGTTGTTTAGTGGTTGTTTAATTTTGGCAAAGGCTAGAGCAAGGTCTGTTTACAGCACTTGCAGTGATGAGTTGCATTGTCAAATGCTCTGAGGAAGGTGGGGAAACTGAGGCACTAAAGCAATTGAGGTTCTGCTGCAGCAAAACTTGTTATCTGGTGTTTGAACAACGACTGTTTTAGCTTCTTCCCTGTCTAGACAAGGAAGATAATGATAGTGATTTCCTTTGGTGAGGGACGAACAGCATCAAGGAAGAGGTAGAGATCTGTGTTACATACATGTTCTTATTCTTTGTACGGTACTTGGGGCTCCTGGTAATACATAACCATTAATGTACTATAGTAGTTATGAGGAATCCTGCCTCACGTCTTGGCCACACAGCATGGTCACGGTTGGAGGCCTACTTCTGGCAGTAGTGTCATCACTGCCTCACTTGAGGTGGCTGGAGATGGGCTGGGCTATTGTTTGTACAGCACTTGGAAGCTGCGAGGTGTTGCGTGACGGTTATCGCCACATGCCGTGCCTGTAGGTAAGTATTTAGATTGAGCACATTGTACTACTGAAGTAGCCAGGACAACAGCTGCAACTGAAGCTAAATGCATTCTCATTTTTTTTCCTTCTGAACTTTAGCTTTTAACTGAAATCAGTGCCAGCATAGCATCTGGAGCCTCTACTCAAACAGCTCTTGTTTTAATTTAGCATGAAAATATCCCCATAAAGAATTTTCACTTCAGAGATGAAGGGAGTAGTTGTCCTTTCCTCCTTTACTCACTGACATGGACAAAGCAAAATCAAGACTCGTTTGAAGCTTTTTGAAGCTGTTGGTAAAGGTTTGGGTGACTGACAGGAGATCCCAGCAGCTTCCCATGGAGCCCTGTGCAACTCCTGTTCTTTGCCCTGCTCTGTTTCAGAGGGTTGGCCATGGAGATAAGAATCATGCAGATGCTGATCGCTCTCCTGTCTTCCTCCAGTTCATCGACTGTGTCTGGCAAATGACAAGACAGGTAAATTGCTGGGTGGCACATGTGTCTACAAAGCCAGGGTACCAAGACATGGCACAATGTCTGGACACAGGAATGATTTCCAAACTGACCATTACAGGCTCTCCTTCCTGGGCTTGTACTCTTGTTTTGACTCTGGCAACAAGTTTTTTGGGAGTCTGTTTAGCAAAGGGCCTGAATGCACAAGTGCACTGGAAGACCACAATGTTGGCTTGCATCACATTACCTCGTCAGTGGGTGCTGCTTACCCACATGCTGCTAGAATAAATGTGAGCTTGGGAGAAGATGCTTGCGTCATCCTGAAAAAGGTGACAGCTGCCTCACACTTAGCATAGGCAGGAACAGACATTCCAGCCGTCCTCAGTAGCCCACTGTGCCTTCAGAAGCATAAGTGACTTGTCTTGCTAATATAAATCCCAAGCAGGATGGGTGCAGACAGATCCCTGTTGCCTCTGCTCAAGCTGATCCCATAACCAAACCTGCAGCAAGACATGCTCTATTTTAACTTCCTCTGAAGGCAGATGTACTGCTCCCAATTCATACATGATGTACAGAGCTGAGTGCCTCACTTCAGGCCGAGTGTGGCAAAGGTACAGTCCAGGAGAGTTCCCCTATGTTTGGGAGGTTTTTCTCCAGGTATGTGGGACCTGGAGGGTTTTTTGTGTCTTCTGTGGCACAAATGTCAGCTGTGGTCAGGCAGTTCAGTGAAAAAAAATTAGGCTTATCATGGATTAAACCAGGAGAAATAGGAAAGAAGGATGCCACTATATATGAAGCTGTACCATATCACACAGAGAGAAAAAGAGGCTTTACCATCCTTGAAGTCACTTTCATCATGCTCTCCTTGGATTGCTCCTAAAAGCAGGCATCCTGACCTGCAGCTGGTGAGGTCAGGATGTTGCAACTGGGGCAGCCTGGGAAGAGAAGGATGGTTGTGAGAGAAGAAGGCCTCCTTCTCTCCTCTTCATTGCCCCAGCATGTGTTTGCAGTTCACTGCATGTATTCTTACTGACCCTTTGTGGAGCTTCAGTTCTCCCTGTCTCGGGTCTGATTGTTTCTGCATGAAACTTCAACAACAAACATGGCCTGTGCCCATACACCTGTTCCTCCTGCTGACCTGTATTGCAAGATGCCTCCCTGCTGTTCCCTCTGGGAAGTGCTGTGTTACGCACATGGGTTATTTCCCTTTGGCCCTGGGAAATTTCCACTTTTTTAATGCGTTATTTGACATGTGCCTTTCGTTCACAATCTGGTTGCATGGTCTGTCATGAGGTGCAGACGTAGCAGAGCAAGCTTCAATTTGAAGCAGCACTGAGTGTGTATAAACACAGTGCTCTAACCCTTCAGACCTCTGGCTTTTGCTCAAAATTCCTCTCTGCAAATGCAAAGCAGCTTTACAAGAGAGAAACTCTTGCTTCTAGAAGGAGCAAATATGACCTTGAATATCCAGCCAGGCAGGGAACAGGGACAAATCAAGAGGCCAACTCCTTACCAAGACTACAGAGTGGGAAAAAGTTTATTTTCCTGTTTTAAAATCCCAACCTAATTTTCTGTTTCTGACTGAAGTTTCCTACAGCATTTGAGTTCAATGAGTACTTCCTAATCACCATCCTGGATCACCTGTACAGCTGTTTGTTTGGGACCTTCCTGTGCAGCAGTGAGCAGCAGAGAGTGAAGGAGGTAAGACGGCTTCTCTCCGAGGTGAAAGCCTGTTCCTGGGATGGCTTTAGCTCACCACATATTGCTAGGGAAGTTGGTTCCTCACTCAAAGATAGTGGTAGATGTGGGTCTGGGAAATGCCAAGCCCCGTCTCAACAGCTGGGACCTGTTGGAAACTTCACATTTCAGAGCAACACCATCTCCCTTCTGCACAGTGCTTCCACTTCCAGTTGCTCACTATGGTTGAATAGCTCCTAGTGTCTCCCAGGTAGTGGAAATGCAGTTTTGCTTTGAACTTTAGTTTAATGTAACCTTCTCTGTGGAAACTGATACCTCCTCCTCTTTTCCTTGAAGTGGTTCCTTTAGGGTGCTTTTAACTACAAAGAGTGTGCTGTCATTCTGCACACATTACTGCACGTAACTGGTCTTAATGTGTGTCCTTGCTGTGCTTGCATTTTTCCTGGAGACAATGCTCCTAGTATTAGTAAGGACATGCATGTCCTGCCACAAGCCAGCTCTGCCCTGCAGTCTGGTCAAGGTTTGTTTGCCAAGGGAGGAGCATATAGATGTGTACATTCAGACCCAGTCTGGAATCAGAAGGAAAAGCAGTGACACTCATTCAGTCTCACCTACCTATTGATGAGGCATTCTGTCACTGGAGTGCTGCAGCCTAACAGCACAGAGGTACATGAGGGCAGTGCTGTGTGGACCTGATGTGATCATATTTGATAGCACTTCTGTTTAAAAAAACCAAACAATAAAACCTAACTGTAATATAAAAGTGATAGCGTTTTACTATAGTGAAATCAGGATCCCTGTTTCTCTGGAATCAGCAGTGATTGAATTTCCAGAAAACAAAATCTGCATGCTGTTTGCATGTGGCTTTTTTTTTTTAAAGGCCTCAGCCTAGTGAAGTACTTAATCTAGGAGGTACTTCGACAGTGGTTTCAGTGGGGCTATTCACAGGTCTAATTATTCCACTAGATCAGGGCCTGAGTCAAATGTTTTCTTTATTTCCTTTGCAATTAAATACTCCAGCAAGTCCTTGAGGAGCACTTTAAAGAAGTGAAGTTTAACTAAAGCATTGAGAGTTCACATGCCGGTGTCCCCTTGCTGTGCCAATGGCTATTCCTCATCTGTGTTGGCAGCTGGGTGGGTAAGAGGGGTTGTTCTGTGCCAGGGCATGTGTGTGCCTGCCTGCATCCATGTGCTTTTAGTACAATAACCACATCAAAAGAACAGTTTTGGGGGTTTTTAAGCTACAAAAAAGCAACCAGCTCCCTATTAATGACAGGCACATGTCTATGCTGCTACAGTTTGTAGATAACTGGAATTTGTATGGCAAATAAAGCATCCTCCACCCCCTTCCCTTACAGAGCCTTCCAAAAAAGACCGTATCACTTTGGTCTTACATCAACAGCCAACTGGAAGACTTTACTAACCCCTTGTACGTGAGCTACTCCAACCATGTCCTGTATCCCGTGGCCAGCATGCGCCACCTCGAGCTGTGGGTCGGCTACTACATCCGCTGGAACCCCAGGATGAAGCCTCAGGTGTGTCTTCCACGGATCCTACATCTGTTTCCCTCTCTGCTAGTACTGATACTGTTATTTTGGAGTTCAAGATATTTGAAGCACAAGATGTACAAACTTATGCTGCCACTGCTTAAATTTAAAAACAAAAGCCTAAATTCAAATGCCAGCAAGAGTGAGCAGCACCTACAGCTGGCTGGTGCAGGTGCTCAGCTTGTGAAATCTGCAGGAGCTGGATATACTCAGCAATTTGGAAAATTTCTCACTTAGAATATGGGAAAAACCTCTGAATTCTCTTCACAAAAGAGTGAAAGAATCCCAAGACTTCCTTGGATGTGGGATTCTAGATAGGATTTTTGGGACTCTATTTAGACTACTAGCAACAAAAACCTGGTGCTTTGCTTTGGCTGCCTGAGGCCCAAGGGTCTGGCTGCAGCCCTGTTACACGCCTGATCCCAGCCAGCAGGGACGCTGGCTCACCCTGGGGCAGGCACCTCAAACAAGCAGACGCAGCATGGCCCTGAAGGCTGACATCACTTTTTAGGAGGAAGAGACATAACTTCCCAGATTGCCTCTGTGCCCAACTGCAGTCAACAGCTTTGCAGTTCTGGGGTGTTAGATACAGGAACCAAACAACCACTTTGCAGTCAGGACCATGTGAAAACATTTAGATGAATCTGTATTTTTTTTTCCCCAAAACTCTGAAATAATGTCCAGGCCAATATGCCATGGCCAGCATCCCCCAGAAATGTCAGTTTGGCAATTGTCATCTTTCAAAATACTTTCAAAATCTTTCAACACTGTTTTGTTTAGCCACCATTGCACTATGCACATTGGATCAAAATGAGCATCTCAGAGCCAGAGCAACTATGCTGTACCCCAGGCGTGCAAACTCATAATACTCGTGTACGACACCCCTTCTCTCAGAGCTGTGTGTAAGGTCAGCAACAGTGTTTTGTGGTTCAGGCTTCCACTTCCATACTTACCTCCCAGCACTCAGCTACACGTTTTCTTGCAGGAACCTGTCCATAATCGCTACAAGGAGCTTCTGGCCAAGCGGGCTGAGCTGCAGAAGAAAGTAGAGGAACTGCAGAGAGAAATCACCAACCGTTCCACCTCATCCTCAGAGAGAGCTGGCTCTCCTGCACAGTGTGTTGCTCCTGTACAGACAGTTGTATAATATGGACTTCTTCTTGCTGAGTACCTTCCCAGGACCATGGGGTCAACTTTTTTGAAGACCCCTGGATTTCCAGCATGGTACCTGGGGGATGCCAACCTATTTATTTATTTCTCTCCAGGGTAATTTATTAGTACTGTAGCACTAGAGAAAGCTTAAGCAAAAAACAACAGACAAGGCCCCCTATGCAATTAATCTTCTCAGTGGCTAGCTTATAATACAATCCAATTGCACTTGCCCCCTAAAAGAAAACTAGAGCTTGCTCTTTGCTCACTGATGTGCTGGAAATCACTTGGTTTTAAAGAGAGAGACTGCACTAGAATGAAGTACTGAGGAGGAAAAACATCAGCTCAGAAGTTTGAAAGGTCTCCCCTTTGCTAAAAGGAAAGACTAAATCTGACTTTGTATTGAAGCCTGAAATGCAGCTGTAACAGAACAAACCCTCTGCTATTAATGTCTGCACAGCAGTGTGAATGAGGGCATTTGCCAGCACACTTGGAGACAAGCAGTGATAGTGTCTGAAACATATCACTCCCTTCACCTTGATCTAGATCATAGGAAGCCATGCAAATGATGCCTTATTTAAAGAAAGGGCAGCTCCTCCCAATAAAACACAATGCTAGAGGAGAAACTACAGGACTTGATTTTGTAGGATGTTTTACTTCCATCCCTGCAACTCTAGAATCTCACTTACAGTTTACAGTGGGTGTGCCAGGATGCAACTTAAGCACCTTTATTTCTGAGAGGGGAGCACAGCGTGGCTCCCCTGGGCTTTCCGCAGCTCCTCTGGCCTCCTGTGCCTCATAGTCACCAGGGGAAAGGTAGTGGAATACCACAGGGCATGTGTGAACTGCTGGGATCAGCCATTACATTTTGCTTGGGTAAGCATAATTAGTGACTTTAATGCTTCTGTGCAGGATCATAGTGGTGTACTTACGGTATTTCAGTGTTGTTAACTAATGAAAACAACTGTACATCAACCAAAGACGCCTTTTTGCCTGCATTCCAACTGCTGCTTTAGGTTATTCTGGCAGACCTAACATCTTAGCCAGTTTCTGAGCTCTACATTTAGGCCTTTTTCAGCATAGTCTGCTTCAAGAATTAGGATCACTTGACTAAACTCAAGTTGAAATTCAGTTTTAATATAAAATTTTACTGTAAAACAGGGGATAAAATACACACTTGGTAAAACCATGACTTCCCCATTGTTCTTCCAAAAAGGTAAGCACAGGGCTGTAGAAGATTGGCCTTACAGGGAAGGCACTTAGCTATGTGCAAGGCTGCTTCTCACTTCCATGCTAAGGAGGAGGGCACTGCTTGGTGGGGGTTCTTGTGTTGCTCTTTTATGACAGGATCCCATTCTGTGGTCATCTGTCAGCATGCTGCTTCACTCAGCTGCTCTTCCACTATAGAGAAGGATTTTCCAAGAGAGTACAAGAGTGGACCAAATTTCCACATAAGATATTGCCTTTCAAAAGCCACATTCCTTCCCATGCAGTAACAGTAATTTCCCCCTGCAGCCTCCACTTTTGCCTGCTATACTACTGCAATCACCATCTCCATGCTTTACAGAGAAATCCACAGCCACCTTCTGACAAGATGAAAACAGCTGTACAGCATCAGCACATTGTTATAGGGTGGCCTGAGACAGTATGGTTCAATAGTGCAAAAGAATCCACACAAAATACTTCTGAAGGACTTGGATTTGCTTTTAAGGTAAAGGGCAGATCTGCTCTTACGTACAATCATTATACAAGACGGTTCATAGCATTCTTCCATATTAGCAAACTGACTATGTGTGTATATTTTGTTTCTTGATGGAGGCTGTTTGGTTTCGTTAACACTAATAAAAACTGATAAAAGGGTAACATTCCTGTGCTTTTACTTTCAACAGTGTGGTCCTCCAAAGGACTTGCAGAACATGCAAACAAACAAAATAGCACTTCAAGTTTAGTATGTGAAATCCAAATCTCCCTCATTTTTCTGCAGATAGTCTTGCAAGATGCTAATTTTCAAACTCTAAAATCTAGAATGACAGGAAAACAAAATTAATCTTTGGACAAGTTTCTCTTATCCGACACAGGCCAGCATTAATACAGATACAGTGCTTAGCTGCTCAGTATTACAAAAATAGAATCACAGAATGGTTTGGGCTTCTACAGAATGGAAGGGACCTTTAAAGACCATCTACTTTCTAACCCCCTGCCATGGGCAGAGACACCTTCCACTAGACCAGGTTGCTCAGAGCCCCATCCAACATGACTTAAACACTTCCAGGTATGGGGCATCCACAACTTCTCTGAGCAACCTGTGCTAGAGCCTCACCACCCTCACAGTAATCAGTTTCTTCCTAATACCTAATCTAAACCTGCCCTCTTTCAGTTGAAAGCCACTTCCCCTTGTCCTATCACTACATGCCCTCTACAGCTTTTAGGTACTTGAAGGTGCTGTAAGATCTCCCCAGAGCCTCCTCTTCCCCAGGCTGAACAACTCCAACTCTCTCAGAACCTACGGTCCTAATACACTGTGAAGTGCAGAAATTGATTTTTTAATTGTGAAAGTATTTCACACAAAGTATTCTGAAATACTTTCACAATTAAAAAAACCTCCACCATTTCTGCACTTCACAGTGCATTGGCAGAGTAACTTCTGTGTAAAAGGAGCATTCACATTTTTGTACGTAACTTATGCAAACCCCAAATTCACTGGGATGATTTGGGATCTACTCTGGATGCTCCTTGATGCTCTCACACCTAGCAGGCTTCCAACTTGGGCATCTCATACACTGTAGGCAGCACATATGGAGCCTAAAATACTCATAAGCCCTCCAGCAGTAAGGAGCTGCACGAAGAAAGCCTGAGGTTGTGCTGAAGTTAACCACAGAGCTCAGCTGAGCAAGCTGATCTCCAGAGGTCCTTCCTAAGCAAAATAACCAACAGTAAGTTTCAGCTACTGATTTTTCAAGACCTCTGGGATGAACTGCTCTCCAAGTGGTTACTCCCACTATACCTGGCTAACAGCATCTGACTTCTCCCATCACAGCTAACACTTTCTGTGCCTTCAATGCAGGGAGATAAGCAGGGTGGATCACCTACACATCACTAAAACTCAAATCCCTTGTGCCCATGTTGTCTCTGTAGAGCTCCCTCCCTGTTCAGCTCCAGGCAAGGGTAGACAACTGTGACCCTCACCTTACCTGCGTTACCCTGACCAAGGAAAAGTCAGCTTACCACAAAAAGGGCACTGGATGAGGCACAGTGCTGCAGCAAACACCAAGCTAAGGTAGAGGAAGTGCAGGTTTCCCACAATTCACTCAAACAGGCAAGCTGGCTTTATTGTTTTTCCACTGTATATACAAGTAATCTGGGTCTTCTGTACATTCCATTAATAGGAAATCCTTTAAATTATTAACATAATAAATAAAATTTACTCAGCTGTGCAAGTCAGAGCACAAAATTAATTGCACCACTACCAAAGTAGATAGCTCAAAGCACATATTTCAAGTTAAAAGCAAGATGCCAGGACTGAAAGGCATGATTGAGGCACTTGCAGTTTAAAATACCTGTGGTTTATCTCACTCCTTTACCACACAAAGCTGTGAACCAGAAACAGGGTGTTATCCCCTATCCTATACCTTTTTCCTAAAGTCGTATTTCTGTAGAAAAATCATTTGATCATTAAGCAACATAATTCATAAATTACTCTGCTCCTTTTTTGAGTACTCAAACATCCTCTGCCATTCATGCTGACTAATGCAATGTAGCAGAAGGGGAACTGGGAAAGCATTTTGAAGAAAGCTCCACAGAACACCTTTAAAAGATGTTCTCCAAGATATGGAGTCATTGCAGCTGCACACAGAACTGACAAAAAGCCCTTAAGACTCAGGGCTGCAGCATCAATTTCAAACAAGATTCATCCTGAGCAGCCTCTCAGTTCAACAGCAGCATGAAATCGCACCGGCACATCACACACACACCAACCCACATAAGTGTGCAGTGCTTGGTGTGCTGAAGGGAAATGGAGGGAATGCTGGAATCATAACATAAGGGACCCTACTGTTTGACTCAGTGGCTGGGTGCTTAAAAATGGAATGTGTTTTAAGCTAGACCATAATATATACAATCAAATGCAGGGATGGAGAACTAAGAGCCTGTATTTCAAAAGTGTGCTTAGCGTACGGTAGTCTCTTCCACACAGCGAGAAAGGCAGCTGCTTTATATCCAGAATGTGAGAAAATTTGGCCAGTTTGGGAAAGTTCAAGAACACCTCTGCAGAAGAGTCAGTAGTCCCAGCTGATATCATCTTTCTGTAGTGAAGTCTGTATGGTCTGCATGTCTCTCAACAACTGAAGATTCTTGCGACTCTTCTCTCCAGGTTTCACTTTGATGGGACCAGCATTCTTTCCTTTTGTGGTTACTGTAGTTGTTACTTTAACCTCACTAACAGGAAACCTGCTGTCTTTCATTGGTTTAGCAGAAGTCTTTTTGGACTTGCATTCTCTCTTAAGTCTCTCTAGCTGAAAGAGAAGCCCAAAAAAACTATTAAGGAGTGACCTTGTTTCATTTTATTTTCAGCAATTCTTCCAAACAGCTGAAATATCCTACCACTTATTTCACCCAGCTAAGCAAATGGATGCTTCCAAGTCCCCCTGAATAATAAATATTTTCCTTACAAAGCATTGTTATATTTACAGCTACGGTTAGCTTATAGTCTGAACTACTAGATTATTTCTTTAAAAACTGACAAGTTCATTATGGGGAAATATCTCTATCAGGAATGTAAAAATTATAGATAAAAGAAGTTGACTTGTCACTGTTACCAACTAGTGATCAAAAAAAAAAAAAGTAGAAAAGTTTTTCTACATACATACTAGTGATTTTAATAGCTACTCACTGTCAGAGATGTAGCTTTAAAAAGAATACCAGCACCCTGCTGGGGTGAAGAGGCAGTATCCACACACAGCACTGTAAATAAGACTCCATACTCCGCAGCGAAGATTGAGCTGGCACAAGGCTGAGTGGGGAACTGGGCAGTCTGAGGTGCAGACACATTCATATGCCCAAACTGCAACACAGGTGGCTTCTATAGCTCCCCTTTCTTCAGGCAGAGGTGCTTCCTCCTCCTAGTTTACAGCTTGAAGCAGTTTTCCTAAATCCTGGCTCCTAAACTTTTGCCAATATCATATGCAGCATCATTACTACTGGGAACTACAGCATATCTGCTTCTCTGCAGCAGTTCCTCTGACGATCATAAGAGATCAAAAGTGAGTAATGCAAACATTTCATATGTCCATTCTGGACATCAGCAGCAGAGCTCTCAGCACATATTTTATGTGTCAGTTATGTCAGGTAAGGGCAAGTCTCTGTTCATATGAACTGAATCAGATTAAACACATGAGGTTAAGCTCTTTGAAAGGAATTCACTAAAATTAATGAAGATGAAAGAAAACAGGAAATATGTTTTATAGTTTTGAATGAACAAGCTACACTACTCAAAACATTTTGAAAATTATAAAATAAGCAAAACAGGCATTTTGGGTCTTTTAAAATGCAAAGGTCATTTACTCAAAGTAATGGAAAAGTGTTAAACAATGTTCAAGAGACAAGAGGTGTAAAATGCAATGCGAGAACATACATGAAAGCTCTGCCCAGGAAAGGATGAAGAGTGGGCACAAGGGTGACAGAAAGGATATTTCTGCAAAAATACTGGGACAGAAGGATGGAGGTATGCAGACTAACTTTGGGACATCAAAGCTAGAGCTATGCAATACTACTCCAAAGTAGTTATTTCTGCTTTATTCAACTGCTGCTAGATTAGTATATAACATTAAAAAAGCCACTTAAGTCAGCAACTCTACATGAGCATGAACACAGTCAAAAGAAACTCACCTGCAACCGATGCCTCCGAACTTTGCTGATCTGGTCTGCCTTTGCTTCCATCTTTCCCACCAGTGCCTCAAGTTCCCTTTCCAGATCTTCCTTGACTGCAGTGGTGGGGGCTTCCTGGATGAGCTTTGACAGCTGCTGGTGATCACTAGCATAGAATTCAGACAGAACAAGGCTTACATCAGGCTCCCTTGGCTTCTACTGTTTGCACTCCCAGTTCAGAAATAACACTTTTAGGAAACCAGAGCATCAACAGCCAGATATGACCAACACACCCTAACAAACCAGTAAGAACAGTTTTGCTGGTTTATAGCACATTCTGGTGGCAGGCTGCTCCAATGTTAAGTCTTAACAACAAAAGTAGTTTTCAACTTCAAATCACACATTCAAAATGACCAAATAACCCTTTGAGAGCATGATCTCAGCACTCATTCAGTTTTGTGTATCTGTACCTACTGCAGTTGTCCAGTACAGTAACAATTATGGTCTGTTAACCAGGACAAGCAAAATGCCTAGTAAAGCTGTCCTTTAATGGAGTATTTGTCCACATCCTGGTTTTGGCTAGGACAGAGTTAATTTTCTTTTCAGTAGCTGGTACAGTGCTGTGTTTTGGATTTCATATGAAAATAATGTTGGTAACACACTGACATTTTCATTATTGCTGAGCAGTGCTTACCCTAAGCCATGGGCTTTTCAGCATCTCCTGCTCTGCCAGTGAGGAGGTAGACAAGAAACTGGGGAGAGCAGAGAGCTGGGACAGCAGATCCATATTGGCCAAAGGGATTCCATACCACAGAACATCATCCTCAATATATAAGCTAGGGGGAGCTGGCTGGGAGGGGCCCATTGCTGCTGGGGACAGGCTGGGCATTAATCAACAGGTGGTGAGCAATTGTACTGTGCATTGCATAGTTTTTCTCCTTGGGTTTTATTCTTCTCTCCCCTTTTGACAACTATTATCATTACCTTTTACTTCATTTCAA